GGCTGCACCCCTCCTAGACCCATTTAAGAGCTGGCTGCCAGTGGGGATGGATCTCGTCTGGAGATCTGCTCTGCTGGTGTTTTGTGTGTGAGCCCAGGATAGGGGTAAGCCTTCTATTTATTCTCTTTTGTTATCATAGTCTGCTTTGCCTAACTCTCTTGTTTATTTTGTGATTATAACATCTTAATATTAATTGATTATACAATGTTATTATAAGAGGAGGAGATGTTCAATAAGAAGGGCTTTAATTTGGGGTTATCAGGATTCAGTATAAAGCTGCAAGGTAATCTCATGGAAGTAGTGGTGTAGTGTAGAGGAGAGGCACCAGTGTAGGAGTCATGCAGTAGCCTTAATTATGTAATTTATTTCCCCCTTTTTAATTCTCAGCTTCCCCCTCTGTCTGCTTTGATTATCTTAGAATATTTGTAGGTTTTTTCTGTTGGTTTTTTTTGTTGTTGTTGTTTTTCTGTTTGTAACATCTACTCATGCATTTAAATTTTGGTGTTAGTCCACATTCTTGGGGCACTGTTCCTTTCCCTCCCTGAAGAAGGGCTAGCTTTCCCTTTGCCCTTAGCTCCTCTGTGCCATTAAGCTGATGCAAAGCTTTTCTTCTTCAGCACATTGCCCTATTCTTCTAAAACATATGGAGAAGTATTCACGAGTTAGAAAAAAAATCCCATTGTTAACCAAACAATATATTAAATTAATCATTCTTGTCACTGTCCAAACAGCCTGATTACTGCTGTATTATGGTCTCTACAGTTCTCTTGTCCTACTTCACAACTTCCTTTTGTTACTGTGCACAAACACTAACTCGGAAGTGAAACCCAGCAAAAGTATTGTCATGAAAGCAGAATAATACAATGTAAATATCTCATTTCCCAAATATACAATTAAGTCTCATCTCTTTGTAGTATAAAAATAATTATGTCAGAAATCTTTGCTTACTCTTTAAAAGGCAGTGCTGCTAAATCCAAACTATAAATCTTCAGAGCTCCAAGAGCTCAAGCATAACCTTGGAAGTACCTGAATTTGGATTTTTATCAGTACCTCAGACTTTTCTGAGTAAGATCCTGTCAAGGTGAGTGTGTGTGCACGTACACTTTGGAAGGACTGGATGTCACTCAGCATTCATGTAGTGGCGATGCTACCCCCATCAGCTGCTGACATCTCTCATTAGCAGTTTCTCAGCCCCCAGGGCATTTAACCCACATCTGGGAGATGTGAATTCAGTGCTTGGAGGGGATCTCGACCTTTGCAGAGAGTATGCAACAACACAAGAGTGCAAAACACACTGGGATGAAAGAAAGAAAGGGCTGATCTTCTCCAAAGCACAATCAGGATTCAGAATAGTTACATAGAGTCATTGATGCTAGGAAAAGCCTAACAGATGGAATACTTAATCGCGAGAAGGCAACATAGGGTTCCAGCTCTGCTCTGCTGAGTATTTTTGTATTAGATATTCAGTAATGCAAGGAATAAAATCCAACGTTTTGCTCTTCAGCCTGGTGCTGGAACCATTCAGCTCTAGCATTGCTCTCACTCTGTGTGCTGCAGGCATGCCCTGCCACTATACAGCGGAGTGTCTTCAAAGGGAATATTAAAAACCCTGGCAGACAGCTGAACATTATACAGCCACTGACTTGCTCCCTCATAGTGCAGGGAAATCAGAAGGGTGAAGTGAGAGAACTTTTGGGTTGAGATGAAGATAGTTCAGTAGGTAAAAGCCACACATACAAGCAAGGCTAAATAAGGAATTCATTTACCACGTGCAGTAGCAGGCAGATGTTTAGCCATTTCCAAGAAAGCAGGGCCCTGTGAGAAGCTGGAAAGGTCTAACACCGTGCAAGCACTGTTTGGCAGCAATGAACACATTTGTGTGCTGTCAGCACTGTATCAGTCACAAATCCAAAACATAGCACCATACAAACTAAACTCCATCTAAGCCAAAACCAGTGCATATGAGTAACAGATGTCAGTATAGCAGCAGTGACTCTGTTATACTCATCTTTCTGCAAAACTGTCAGCTCTGATAACTTTTTCATTCAGTCTCTTTGTCCCAAGTCAAGTAATGTATACCCACAGCTACCTTTTTGTATCGTATCATTGTCATCTTTACCCATGACATATAACCATTACCTCTTATTTCCCTGTCCACCTATGCTGCACAGTTTACACACAGTCTTTTGATGAGCAGTGCAACCTTTTCTCATTTTTTCCCTTTGTCCCTTTTGCACAGATTGCATCCATCAATATTAACATTTCAAGTCTCTAATTTATCTCATTACATTTCTGTGTTACCAGCCAAATCATAATTTCCTTCCTGTAATGTCACTTCGATCTCATTTCCCATACCCTCTGCATTTGCATATAGACAATTACTAAGTTTATTGCTTCTTCCTTCCTACTGGCCTTGGCTTTTCTCCGTTGTCTTTATCTTCCAGCATTCAATATTTATGGAAAGAGCTCTCTATTGAATTGTGACATCAGCATAAGTTGGCAACTGCCTGAAATAGCATTCCAGTACTACCTCCTGTACTCAAGTTGCCAGTTTTTAAATACAAATTGTCCACCCTTTCCCCAAAGAAGAGGATTTGGTTATGTTTCCAGTATCACTAGGAGGTCCAAACAGACCATGGAGTTTTTATTTACGTGGAAAACCATCACACACCGGTTAAGGGCTACTTTCTGCAAAAGAAGAACTGTACTATCATTCTGGGAGAAGACAATTTATAAGCAGTGGCTTCATGTTCTTTGAAAGGAGAAGAGGGACTCCTTTATAAGGGTGAGCAAACCTTTCCCTCACAGGCATGTCAGGAAGCAATCCAGACCTCTGTGTCTTGTGGCTATAGGGGCAAACATGGCACATGAGAACTGCAGCTGGGAGCAATACTTAAGGGGCTACACAACTGCTTGTGCCTGAATGCTATTTGCATGCAGCCCCATGCAGGGAAGATGAGGTTATCCTGGAGGATTCACTTTGTTTCCCTCCTACTTGCAGGCAATTTCAGCTCTGTCCATAGGTTCCTGCTGTCCTGACAAAGACCACATTTTAAACCTTAACTTTGTCTCAGCATTCATCTAAAACTTTAAGCTCAGCCCTTGAGGTTCCTCCCAGAAGCTTGTGAAAGTTCTCTATCCTTAGCTGAATTCTTGCCCCGAACCTCAACACCATAGCTCCACTCTGCCATGAAAACAAGAGCTTAAAGCCCTCCTACAGCCCATCTCTTCCAGAAAAAGAGGTGTCTGTATTTATGTAATTGTTCACTAGATGGCAACCTTAGTTTAAAAATAAATTCCCTTGCCCTCAGTTAAGCAGAAAAGGTGGGCTAATGCCAGCTTAAAGGGAAATCAGTAAATAAATGCCTGATGCCCTGCTCCAAGGGCAAAAAAAGACAGTACCGTTGAGATGCTAAGGAAGTATTTCAGACCATAATGGAAATCAATGTCAAAAGAGGGGGGATGCAAGAAAAATATTTTGGTAGAACATAATGTTTTCATTCAGTGAGAGGTTTCAATATGCTTTATTAATCTGAAGGAATGCTTTAACTGTTCTGCTGTGGGGGAGGCCAAGAAGGAAAGGAGCGGTGTGGGCTAGGCCTTGAAGTAGGGATAGGAAGCTAACGTACAGGGAAATAAAGTACAGGTGAATGGAAAAGAGAGATGCTAGCCAATCTAGGGGCATGAAGATGTAAGCCAAAATTTGGTAAGAACAAAGTCACGGTGTGATCAGAGCTAGCCACATGGCCACAGGCTCTCTTTGGGCTGGAGTGACCACATTAGCACAGAAGGGAATTTCTCCTGCTTTTGTCTGACAGTTGTTACTTGCCTTTTATCCCTGCTGAGGGAGACAACTGCTCGCATTTATTACCTCCACTGCCAAAGTAGGTTTGTTACCCTTTCTCCCTGCGCTGCTAACATAATGATGGCCCCAGAGCTGTGCCTACTGGCAGGCTGTGTGCTCCCAGGGCCACCAGCAGTGCCTACCTATAACCTAGTGCAAGTACACCTGCTGGGCTCACGGGTGGCTGTGCGCTCATTAGCGGTTGCATGCTGGTAATGAGTTGGGTAGCTGTACGTAAACACCCTTTTGCTGAGAATAACACAGCTTGTTAGATGTTTATAGCACAGTTTTATAATTGGATTTGAAACATGAGGCAAGATTGATAGTTCTCTACGGGGGCAACGTCTGGAATTAGGTGAAACTATCACCAAAGGGGACTGTGATGGTGGTTTAGCTGCAAGCCATGCTGGTTACATTCCCATTCACTTGGATGAGAGTCCTTGATGCCAGTGCCAAAACCTAACAGACCTAGAAAAGCCACTCTCCCTCCCTGAAAATACCTGTCTATGTATTCGTCTGCAAATAGCTCAGAAATTTGGCACTGAGAAGTGTTTTTCTCAGCCAACACATGCCTCTTCTAAGCAGAAACTGGAAAAGCCCCCGAGACCATACAACTAAATTTATTAAGGTCTGATTAGACTCAATATTGACTCTTGACTCTGTCTGTACTCCCTTTGCATTTTTTATCACTCCGTGGATTCAAGAACGTGGAAATTTATATCTTAAAGTCAAAAGCTTGCACTCCTCCCTCTAACTAGAAGAGACCAGTCAATGAATCTAACAGGTGCCTTGCTGTATCTCTTGCTCAGGAGCAGGAAAGTGAGCATCTCATCTCCTTTCTGCTGAGAACAGCGCCAATGATCATGCCTGTGTGAACCACTTCCTCTAACAGAAAAGAATCTGATAGAAAAACAAAGGAAAAAAAACACCAATTTTCAGGACACACATTTTAAGTTCTGTGGAAAATGGCATCCTCATTTGCTTTCTGGCCAGCAATTCACAGACTGTACAGGATGTTGAATATTAAACATGTGCTTATCATCTTAGAATGGCTGGCAAGAGGCTCAGATAGTCAATAAGCACATTTGTATCCAAACTGCCAAGGTGTGCACTTTGCAGTGCAGCAGAATGGCACAGCATGGGGCTGGTGCTCACCTTTTGCTGTGCAGAAGTGCCATGCCAAGGGCTGCTCTGAAGGGCAGGTTGGGCTCCTCGCTCTGCCACCAAGAAACACTGCAGCTGCAAATGGTGTCGCCAGAAAAGGAATGTTGGGTGTTGTTGCACCTTGAGAGCAGAGTTTTGAGTGACTCTTAACGCTATTTTGGAGGGAAAAAACAGTACCAGCTCTGAGTTTTTTTCTAAAATGACTGTGGTGCTGAAGCAGCCTGAGGAATTGCCCCCATCTTCTTGCAAACAGAGTGGGAACAGTTTAACACATGCAGCTGATTCATGCCATTTGCTGTGGAACTGTTGTGGCTAATACCGGGCACTTTCAGAGTACAATTTGTGGGCTGTGGGGACTGATTAACAGTCTGTTAGGATCCATCCTGTTGGACTGTGTCACCACTGCTGAGAGAGACTACTGCACATGGATGATGCTTTCAGAGCCAATACATATGGTTATTCAGATATGCATACGTAATAATTCTCTGGGCTAATAACTGTTACCAGACATTTATTCCAGTAATGCTATTTACTCTGCTGTGCTTCCTTGAAGACTAAAAATACAAGTGCTACCACAAACAGGGCCAGGACTGTTGGTTAATACCAGGCTGCAGAGAAAAACCATGTTCCTTTATTATCATTCCCCTCCATTTCTTCTTACTCCTGCTTTTTTCCTTGTGGCTGAAACAAAACCATGTCATCAGGAGCTGGAAAACTGCTTCACTCCCCATGAAGGGCAGCACATGGCAGCTGGTGCATGCCAGCAGCCACCAGAAGCTGATGGGAAGTACAGATTTAGCAGTGAGACTAAGGGGCGTCCAGGGCAGCATAGCTGCTAGGGTGCTGCCTCCACCTCTGCTTTTTCACCACCTCCATCTTTACTCTTTTCCCCCAGCATAACCTTTTCATTTGTTGCTTTGGATGTGGCAGAGCTTTGTAGCAGTGCTTTCACTCAATACCTTCAAAGGGGCCTGGGGTTACTGAAATCAGAGGGAAACAAAACTTACGGCAACCAAAGTGGAAGCTGCCAGAGCTTTTTGTGTCACTGTTCTTCAGGCTTCAGAGGAGAAACATCTCATAAAATACAGCCATGTATGTTTGTACCCAGTAGATGCATGCCACTTAAGGAAGGAAAACTTGTTCATTTCTGCTTTTCACAAGAAAAATTACAAGATTCCATAAGAAAGTGTTACATTTTTCATATTCATTTTATGTATAAAAATCTGTTCTGGCAACATGCCTATGTTGTCTTTAACACTTTTGTGTTACAATTTGTGGGACAGTGATGACAGAATAGAGTTCCCTACTGGGAAAGATTATTATAGGCCGTATGTGCTAAAGCCAAGCAAAGACTATTTGACTGATGTTCAAAAGTCCTTGCCAGTACAAACACTGATGTTATTCTTAATAGAGTAAATTACTGTACTTCAAATAGTATTTCTGCCAACTGAACTTGTGCATTTTGTTAAATACCATGCTGGAGGGCACTTTATGAAGGTCCCATCTGCAAGCCTCAGCTTATAAGCATGGATTAGCCTGGTCAGTGTGCTTAATTTTATTTATTTATTCACCAATTATTAAATGCAAGAGTTACCAGGAGGATACAACTCATTTACCTTTCCTCACATCTTACAGCTCTCATCAGTGACCATCATGCTGAACTGCAGGGCTTTGAGTTGTAGAATCACAGAATCATTAAGATTGGAAAAGACCACTAAGGTCACCAAGTCCAGCCATCAACCCAACACCACCACACCAACTAACCATGTCCCTCAGTGCCATATCTACTCATTACTTGAACGCCTCCAGGGGCAGTGACTCCATCACCTCCCTAGGCAGCTTGACTACTCTTTCTGAGAAGAAATTGCTCCTAATACCCAACCTGAACCTCCCCTGGTACAACTTAAGGCCATTGATGGACTGGACTTGGACTGGATAATCTTTTAGGTCTTTTCCAACCTTGGTGATTCTATGATTCTATGATTCCCTCTCATCCTATTGCTGTTACCTGGGAAAAGAAGCCAACCACCACAGCCTCCATTCAGGGAGTTGTTAAAGAGAGCAACAAAGTCTCTTCCTTTTTTAATGAAGTTCCTTATTCTGCATAACTCTTTTACTTTGGTATGAATTAACTCCAGTTGAAAAAGAAGAAACAAATAATTTATGTAAATAAGGAGAGAACTTGCTCCATGCTATCATATCCACACAACCGCCTCCTGCAATGCAGGATACAACAGAGATTCAAACCCATTTACATTTCCAAGCATGCTGTCTTTCATAGAGAGTTCAGCTGTCATATTATTTCCAAGGTAAAACAGAGCCAGGAGGAAAGCTCCATGGGCAGCACAGTACCAGGGTGCTCAGTTCCCCCATGTTATGTTTCCTGTTGCTTTCCCTGTCATTCTTCTGGTCTCTCCTCCTTTTAGAGCTGAATTAAGACTTGCAGAATGCCTCCAGGCAGTGTCTAGCTTGCCTCTGCCTGAGCCCCATGCAGACCTTCTGGCCCCATTCTCACTGTCACCCATCTTTGGTGCAGCCCAAAAAATACGATACAAGGAAACACAGGCATTACTTTCCCAAAGAGGTTTGCATGACTGAGGAACAGTGGATATAGTTTAATACAGAGTTTTGTACTACACTTTAATCCTGAGAGATGTTCCTAGTGCTGCAGCTGTAACACAGAAATAACGATTTCTTATCCCAATTTACAAGTGGCAGTAATGGTGAAAATGCTAAAACCCATCTATTCTCCTTACACATAACTAGCCTGGAAAGTGTTCACATCAATTTTTTCTGACTCTTATAACAAAGACTTGCAGTGACATCTGTGATTCATTTGGTAAAACAACTATCTGTGGTGACAGCTGATGTTAGCAGCATGGGCCACAGGTATCTTACTATTAGTACTACTAGGATTTCAATTGGCAAGTAGCTCAGCACAAATTAAGACCGAGTTTTCCCTACCTCACAGGAGCAGCTCTGTACAAATAATGCAGATGTACCTTGCACTTTCCAGCCTTCACTGCACAATGAACACATGACACAGAGAAAAGATGCTGCCCAATGGTTTTGGTAAAGGAAAGCAAAGAGATTGACTTTCACAGATAATTAACAGAGATTTCTGGCAATGCTTAGAAGCACAGCTACCAGCATAGCAATACACTAATTTTATCCCTTTAAGATACTACAGAGGATTTAAAACCTCTAGGACAAGAACAAAGTACTTGGGCATTTACTTGCCCCAGGTGATTACATGCTGTTGAATCTCTCCCTGCTTCATCAGCAGCTTCATTGGAACAACAGAACCATGACTAGTCCTTGTCCACAGTTTCTCCATGAAGAATATATTTCGTGGTTTTTTTTTTTTTTTTTCTTAATTCAACTGCATGAAGAAACACTTATTTCCCAGATTCGAGACTGAAACTCCAAGCGAGTTGAGGAGTCAAAGAACTTATTTTCTGTGGTTAAAATGCAAGATTGAGATTCTGGCTTCTCTTTCCAAGTGCTTGATGTACACTACTACTGCTTGAAGCTGGACATATAGGAGAAATAATAGTAAGAAGGCAAAGTATCTCATTCAGCTGTTGAGCACAGACTTTCACATGGAAGGGCAGTGGTAGTGGAAGGGGAGCTGGATGAATAGCCTCAATGGCAAGTTTTGACTTGAGCACTTCGAGCTCCCTGCAGGAGCCCAGCTCTATGGCTTTATTCTGCATCCTTGCCTCTTGGCCTGAGCCCTGGGCATGGCAGCAACTGAACATCCCTTTCTCTCCCCAAGGCCCACAGATCTTAAGCTGTGCCAAAATAAGATTTCACTTTGCTTGTCACCTTGACAGAGGCAAGCAAGTCAAAATAAAGGAAAAGATGACTGCAGCTGGCAGTAAACCAACCACTACTTATTTTTGTTCTTCAGGCTTGCAGGAAAAAGAGTCTCCATTTCAGAATATTTTCACCAATTTAGTTAGCAGGAAACAAAGGCAGGAAGCCATTGCCAGTCTGCAAGGCAAAAAGCAGACCATTAAGCACAGCGCTGTACCTGTAAGGAACGTGAGGGAATGAAGTTGGCCCCTGATACAAAATTGCACGTTCTTCCACTTTCTTTTTTAAAGCTTTAGCAACATTTTTTCCTAGATCTTATTAAGTACATCTCCATAGGGCCCTGCAGGGTGTTAGACAAGCATAAGAGGGAAGTTCTGTACATTTAATCTTCCTGTACTTACACCTCATTTGTTCCATTCACGTCACTGAATGCATTTCACCTGTAAAGGTGAGAGCAGAGCAGAGTCCCTAGTGTTCCTCAGGTGGTTATTTCCTTACAGCTTATTAATGCACAGCAGGAGAATAATTCTTTCAGTAAGTGCTGGTAGAAGGATTAGATATCCCATGCAACCATCCATTTGCACCGAGCTGCAAAGTCCTTGTGCTAGAGAAATTAGAATAACAAACTCAAGAGCATTCTGAATCCCTGCAGTACTGCAGCCCTCACTCTGATCCAGTGGCTTTGTCTCTGTTGAGACATAGGAGCAAACCCAGCCCTGTTCTGTAGGCTCAGGGATTAAATTCCCAGCTAATATTTGCAGTAAGGGGCCACCCCTGTGCTTGCTCTATCCTCTGTCAGCTCCACTTACTTATCCCACAGCTGCCTCCATTGACTTCTCCCTCTATCCAGGTGAACAATAGCAGAATCAGGTCCAGGCTTTAACAGCTTTTGCTGCCATCAGTAATGCAAGCAAATGGGAAATGCACTTAGCCAAATCACCATTCCTATCTTAATTTTGTCTGAGATTAATTCAAATGGAACTACCTTTCTTCTACTAAAGCTCCTAAAGGTGGAAAGTGTATAATTTGTTCCTGCTCATTTGTGAAGAAGGAAAAACCTCGCAAGTTAAACACAAGGTATGGAGCAGGGAACCTATTATGATGTATGAGCTCAGTGATACATTCACAAAGAAGCTAAAATAACTAACGCATTATAGAAATGGGATATAATCTGGAAGTGAAATAAGTAGATGTGTGTTTGATCACCCTTCCCCTTTGGAAAGAGCACTGCTTTTTTATTACTATTTTCTGAAATGTCACCTCCATTTACTTTGAATTTTTTGTTTTACAAAGTCAGTTTCTGAAAGTTTTAAAACTGAGGGGAAATCTGTTAAACAGTAAAGCAGGAAAATTTATGTACAATATTAAGAAATTAAGTGTGGGTATCAAATTTTCTGACAAGAATACCAACTTTCCAAAACTACTTTAAGTTCTACCTGGAATTGCTCTTTCAGTTTAAACTGATGGCCAGCAGCCTAAGGAAAAAAAATCCTGAAAAGAACAACATGGGCCCTCCTCTCTTTCATACAGACAAAAATCAAATTGAAAACATTCCATCTGAAATCGTCCTAGAGCTGGAGTCGCTTGCTTGGCCTCCACTCCAAAAAACACTGCATTCTTACTCTGGATGACCAAATCAGCAAGGGAGCTGTATTCAATGCTGTGCTGTCATCAGCATTCTCAAGTATTGACTCTTGTATAAAATTGTATAAATACAATGAATAATCATCCCAACGGCTCCCAGATTTTTTATATTCATCTGATTTAAGGTGAAGATACCAGCTCCCAGATCCTTCTGAAGGCCTAAGGCACTTCTCAGAGTTGAAAACCAAACCAAAACAAAAAGGAAATTACTCTCATTTTTGCAGAGGTGCAGCACTGTATCAGGAAGGAATCAAACCAGTCTATGTGCCACAGTTTTCCATAGGTACCCCATAAAATGACATCATGCAATGACCTGATGCAACTAGGACAGCTGGAAAACCATGGGTCCTATGGAAAACAATGACAGTATCAAAACTGAATTCACTCTTTACAGCATATTTGTTGAGATGGTGGGTTTAGAAAAAATACCAAAACAAGAAGTGCATGGTTAGAAAATTACTAGGAATACATTCAAACTTAAGGAATTAGATTTTCTCTGGACATAATAACAGTGAAT